AGTTTGTGATGCTAGGTCGTAGGTTTTGAAAATCGATCCAGTAATGGTGGAGCTTCGGACAATAAACGACAATAACAAAAATAATTTTTTGAGGTTTAAGTGTCTCCTGCTCATTTTCAGAAAAATATTTTGAGCGAGTTATGTTATTATATTTTTATCTTTTATTGTAAACCATATTCGTCGTCGTGTAGGAATACTTATAATCCGCATGTGGATGTACGAGTATTCAACGTGATACCTTCGCAACTCCTTATACCGCCAAGGAGTAAAAGATTTGCCAATCTTACACATGACTCTTTAAAAAATCATCTATTATGTCATTGTCAAGATTTCAGGTAACTAAAAGAGATAGATAGCGTTGGTAAATAGGATAAATAGAAATATAGAACGTATATGGCAATCTAAGGGAGAGTTCATATAAGCTCTAGCTTCAGAAGATTTACACATGAGGTGAAGTTGAATCAGTCACTTTAGGAAATATACTAGGTAAGCACATTTGAGGAAATTCGTCTGCTAAAGTTTTGTTTATTCGCAAAAATAAGAAACTTTTGAGATTATGTAGAAAGTAAAAACTGGCGTTACTGGAAATCGGTTCTTCTTAGGTACCTTTTGAATGACACTGTATGATCAAACAAAATTTTGACAGTTCGGTAAGCAATTGGAGTTTGATTTGGTGGTGTTTACGGAAAGCAATTGACTGACTCATAACGCCGCGCGGACACACTAGCCCCAGCGCGAGATTGCTAAAAATTTTTACATACCGTATAACAAAGGACCAAATACTGCTTTTGAAAAGCCTACTGCGTTAGCTGAAAAAATGTATTTCTGTTCAATTCCGACAAAGTGAGCTGTTTTTGAGAAAGACAACTCTAAAACTCAAACAACTGATCTAAAAATGTATATCTTGGTGCTTCTCAGCACTGTTAGCAGGATTACTGTATTGACAAAATGGCGTGACCCGCATTCCGGATATCATGTCAATATTAATAGAACTTTACTGAAAACTCATACAACTGTTTTTTTTTGTCAAAAGCGGTCTATTTTATTAACATAGAATACTTTTTTGAAGGAGAACTTATGGCATTATATTTTTGTGTTCTATATGTATACCAGAAATTGACATATTTTGGGACACCCTGTACACACATTCTTATGACCTGACATTATTATAAACCTTACAGCCATTTTTGATAGCGACGAATATGAGAACCTCTTGAGACAGTTCAACGGACAGGTCGCATTCTATCATGTGAAGACTTTACAAAGTTAATGAGTAATTCTTACAGGTGAGCTACTTTTAAAAAATAAAATCTAATCCATCCTAGATGTCTTGCAAATTTTCAAACAATTATTTTTTGCATGATGTAGAAGGCTGACTTACTCATTCTATCATGACGTTTCCTAGCACTTTGATATTCTGATAAAAACAATAGTGAGGACCTCTTCAATCATCTTCAATGGAAAATACCATACAACATTTGTTTCAGAAAATGATGAGGGAGATCGAAGAAGTAGATGCTTCTGAGACATCTTTGGGCAATGTTCTTTTTATCTGAATATCAATACTTTAATAAGACAATCGTTGTTTTGATAACAAAACTATATTTCGGGTAAGTTATGTAGTGCTTGAGGGAGCTATTCCCAAAATATTCCACATATTTGACACAACGTTATTGAAATGATATTGTTAAATTAGAAACGCACCTGATTCGCACAATTTTGAAACTAAAATACAAAACTCTGGAGCGTCTAATTTGTAATGATGTAAACATGGGAACAAACTCTATCGTGATATTTCACTATTTACTCTTCTGACAATAAAAATAGATAAAAACGTTATTTGACCTTTTTAACATGACCTTAGATTACTATAAGCCTTACAACCACTTCAGATAGCGACGAATAGGGCTATATATATTTGGTGACAGTTAAACAAATAGTTCGCACTCTATCATGTGAAGACTTTACATTACTTAAGTTAAACAATTTTTATTTAAACCGAAGCAGCCGCGCAGGGAGAGGCCTAAATGCTGGGACACCGCTGCTGCTATGATGATCCCAAAGAAATTTTGTTAATCCGATTTTTGAACTGCCTAAGCTTAGTAGAACTGGGAAAGGCTTCCTCTTGTAGATTATTCTACACTCTCGACACCCTTGGGACAAAGGAGCGATCGTATTGGCCAGTTGGTGTATGAAGCTCGACACAGTTAGGATGGGAGGCCACAGTCAGACGGGTCTCTCTGGCAGGCACATCGCGCGGCGGCATCGTGGAAGAGAGCTCTGAGGAGCAAAGCCCGTTGGTGTAGCGATTGAAGAGAGCTAGATCGCAGACAGCCCGCCGGTGCGAAAGGGTCCCAAGACTGTCTGTTAGAGAAGAGTCATCGATCAGTCGAACAGCCCTCCTCTGGACAGCATCGAGCATAAATGATGTAGTCGGGGCGGCAACACGGAGCGAGCCAACCTACGCCAACGGTTTCCAGGGTCGTTGTTGGCGTTCGCTCCTTGATCGGTACATTAAGGGGAGGTTTGATTTGGTCTGAACAGGATTTGTTGCGCTTCTGGTATTAAGTCTTTTGTCTGCATTAGATAAGACGAAACTCGACGCTCGACATTAGCACCGAACTTAACCCAACACGGCCCAACTCGAAACTAAATTTAGGTGTAGTCGAGTGCATTCCACTACCTTCCGACAACAAATGCCAACGTCACATGGGCTTGCATTCGTTTGCTCGGCGTTGGATTTTCGGTCTGTACGCGGCTTAAGACAAGTGCTGCATCAAAATAACAATAGTTTAGGTGATCCAACTGTGAGAAATATACTATTGAGCATATTTGGTTATAGCATAGTTTCACATAATTTAAAAAGCATTCGTTTTTACGTAAAAAGGTCTCACCCATGATGCCGCCGCGCGATGTGCCTGTTGGACAGACCCGCCTGACTTCGGCTTCACATCCTAACCGTGTCGAACTTCGTTACACTCAGAACTGGCCGATACGACCGCTCCTGTGTCCCTAGGGAATTGAAATTGTGGAACAACCTACCTGAGGAGAGTTTTCCCACTTCTACTAAGCTGAGGCAGTTCAAGAATCTGATTAATAAAAATTCTTTAAGCTCCTCATAACAGTCGCAGTGCCCTGGTATTTAGGCTATTGGTATGCGACTGCTTCGGTGCATGCGGCCCCCCTCCAACTATTGTGTAAATAGTAGTGTATACTAATATGATGCTTAGGCTTGGCAGGTACAGTAAGGGAGGTAGATGTATAAAAGTGATGATAAGGTAAACCAAGGTTAGAAAAGTTCAGCACTTGAAACCGTTACAATTACATATGTAGAAGATGCAATTTCTAATTTAGTTTAGTTCCAAAATTATTCTAAAAAATCATTATCAAGTTTAGTTGATACCGTTTTTTATAAAAACTGTCTAAAATTGCCCCCATGTGTTCGACGCAACATCTTGCTCGGCGAATCCACAACCATTTACAAGCTTCGAAAATAAAATCCTCGAGCATTTCTTCTCGGTCCGTCAACTAGTATGTATCGGAGCAAGAATTTTCTTTTTTACCGGTAGTGCGCAAAAAGTGGTCGTTTAATTTTCGTGTACGTAGAAACATTAACAGTGGTTTTAATTAGTGGTATCTAATTATGTCCTCAAGCTCTCCCCCCGATGGCGGGGGGGTCATAAGAATGGACCTAGGAAACTCCCAGAACCCTGTCCAGGATAATACATCTATATCCCATAATAATGGAATAGGAAAAGAACAACCAAAAAAGGTGTTCAACGTACAAAAACCACATTTGTACTCAGATAAGGTATACGTGTTTATCCAAAAAAGAGATGAAGATGGAAATTTAGGTAAGATCCACCCAATGAAAATAGGTCATATTTTTCATAAGACCCTAGCAATTCCTAATATTGTAAGTATCTCAAGCGTGGGTAGAAATAGAGTGAAGATTGAGTTAAAGTCTATTAGTGATGCTAACAAACTAATTAATGATCATCGGCTCATCAAGGAAGACTTGGTAGCATTCATACCAAACAACTTGCTACAAAGAAAAGGCATAATCAGAAATGTTGACACCTCATTTGACGAAAAGTACATTTTAGAAAACGTAAATTCTTCGGTTACAATAACTGAGGTTAGCAGATTCAAAAAGAAATTAAATATCGATGGAGGCACGACATTTGTTCCTAGACAAACGGTTCTCCTATCTTTTGAGGGCAACACCCTTCCCACACATATCTTTATTAACAGTGTTGCATGTCCGGTTGAACCTTATGTACATAAGGTCATACAATGTTTCAAGTGCCTAAAACATGGCCACGTAGCAAAGCATTGTAGGAGCACTAAAACAATGTGTATTAATTGTTCTCAGGAAAAAACTGAAGGGCACTCATGTAGAGACCCGCAAGATAGTTTTTGTTTACATTGTAACAGTGATCTTCACAAATCTATCTCTCGAAAGTGTCCTAAGTATTCAGAACAAAATAAAATAAAAAAAGTCATGTCTGAAAAAAATTTAACATTCCTTGAAGCCAAGACCATCGTGTCTCAGTCGTATTCGACGGCTGTTAGTACTAGCAACAGGTATGCAGTCCTGGATACGCAGAACACGGACAATTTCCCACCATTGCCACAAGTTTCAGAAAGGGGTAACAACCCTAAGAGGCACTCTCCACAAACACCACACACTTCTTCCCATCCTCCAGCCTTAAGAAACTCACCAACCTTCCACTCACTATGTAATCAGTCGGCTTCGCCAGCCACAAGTAACCCTAACAAAAGGAAAAAAGCAGCATCCTCTCCGGAGGAACCTAGTATGTTCCCTTTCATTTTTGGCCCCAGTAGAGCCTTACCACCCCTAGACAAATCTACTTTAGACGAGAACGCTAAAGAATTAGTGGATGTATTTTTCAATATTTTCCAGAGTGTTTTAGAAGATATAAATTCCTTTGAAGAACTGAAAAACATAGACACTGGAGTAGTATTTGATAAATTAAGCAGATTATATTTTAATGGATAATTCAAACACAAACATATTAAAAATTTTGCAGTGGAATGCTAAATCAGCCGTATCGAATAAACATAGTTTGGTAAAGTGTCTATGTGAATATGATGTAGATATAGCGCTCATTTCAGAAACATGGTTTAAGCCTGGCAGTCTGATTTCATTCAAGGGGTACAATGTTGTTAGGAATGATAGGTTTGATGGTTATGCCGGAGTAGCAATTCTAATAAAGAATGGCTACATGTATAATGAATTAGTATTACAAAATAACTTTTCTTCTGACATTCAGATGTGCGGTATCGAACTTATTATCAGTAATGATCGACTATCATTTTTCTCCTTATACTGTCCGCCAAATAGCACGACTATCGCTAGTGACTGGGAAAACATTTTCAGTCAACTCAATAATACAGGAATCATAGGTGGCGATTTCAACGCTCACCATAATATCTGGGGTTCATATAAAACCAACCAGAAAGGTCATCAAATAGCCGACATCCTTTCTGACATAGATATAATTTTACTGAATACTGGTCAGCCAACTAGATTCTCTCAAAACAACAACTCTGCTATCGATCTAACTTTCTCTTCGCCAAATTTGGCAATCCAATGTACATGGTATACGCTAGGAGATACCACGGGCTCAGATCATTTCCCGATTATCATCGAAATTGAAAGAAAAATATCTCGTCCAGACACTGATTTTTACGGTCCGAAATTAAAGTGGAACCTAAAAAAGGCAAACTGGAATTTATATAATCACACAGCCTACATCTTTTTCAACAATAACCAAACACAGATACATAACACAGAATCAAAATATCACCATCTCATTGAAGGAATCAATGCTGCAGCGGATAAATCAATCGCAAAATACAAGATTTCAAAATGCAACAAGAAAAACATATTGCCTCCCTGGTGGGATAATGAGTGTGAAAATGTGGTCAACTCTAGGAGGGATCAACTACGTGCATATAAAAACCAAAGCACAATGGAAAATTATTTAAGATGTAAACAAGAAATGGCCAAAGCCAAAAAGACCTTGAAAGAAAAGGCTAGAAGTAATTGGCGTAAATGGTGCGCTAATCTTAATAGAAATACACCACTTACAGAAATATGGAACCAAGCCAAAAGAATGCAAGGACGAGCTAGAAATAAATCCAGAAATTTTGAATGGCAAGATGATTTCTTTGATAATATCGCTCCACCCACTGTTGATAATGACTTCTCCTCCATATTAAAAAATAGCAAACAGAGTGAAAATAATCACCCAATTTTTCTAGAACCTATACATCTGAAGGAAGTAGAGTTTGCAGTCAATAACAGGAAAAATACGTCCCCGGGTTATGATGAGATTCGTTACCCTATGATTGAGAACCTCCCCACTAATGCTAAAGAACTATTGATTGAAATTCTGAATGATATTTGGATTCTAGGCGAAGATATCAACGAATGGAAGAAAGTCATCCTTATCCCGTGTCTAAAACCAGGAAAAGACCCCAATAATATCGAGTCATACCGTTTTATCTCTCTTCTCTCGTGTCTATTGAAGCTTTTCGAAAGGGTGATAAAATATAGAATAGAATGGTGGCTCAATCATCTCAACATTCTACCCATAGCTCAGTATGGTTTCAAGAAGAATTATGGAACTGCCGATGCACTCTCCCATTTGGTCACAGACATTCAAATTTGTCACTCGAAAAATGAATATATGGGCGCACTCTTCTTGGATATTAAAGGCGCCTATGATAGCGTCGATTGGCTTACCCTTTACGAAAAAATAGTGAACCTACAAATTCCAGAAGATATCGCAAGTACTATTTGCAAACTATATATAAATAGAACAATTTCCATTAGACAATATAATGGGAGTATCAAAGAACGTAGACCAATTTCCAAAGGTTTACCACAAGGCTCTGTATTATCCCCGCTTCTGTTTAATATTTATACGATATCGATGCATACCACTTCTTCTAACCTGAATGTCATTCAATACGCTGACGACTTTGTATTTTACATTTTTTCCGAAAAGTTGGATCTATGCTTAAGGTCTCTAAATTCTTCCATTTGTCCTACCTTAAAATGTATCGTCGATCTAGGCTTCTGCATTTCACCACAAAAGTCCAAGGTATATATATATTTTCTCGCCATAGAACTTCAGGTACACCGACAGTAATCCTCGGACAGACTAACTTCCCTGTTGTAGAGGAAATCAAATACTTAGGTATGATTCTCGATAAAAAACTCTCCTTCAAATCGCATATCGAGGAAATTATAGTAAAATGCAACAAAGGCCTAAATTTCTTGAAATCAGTGACAAAAACTTGGTGGGGAGCAGATCCTGTTACGGCTCTTACCTTCTACAGGTCCTACTTGAGATCTATAATTGATTATGGATCCTATTTATATGGTGGTGCAAACAAACAAGCACTCAGAAAATTGGATACTCTCCAAAATAAGGCCTTGAGAGTATGCATAGGAGCAATGAAATCTACCCCTATTGAACCCCTTAGAGCTGAAGCTAGAGAGCCACCACTCGACATAAGAAGACAAATGCTTGCTGAAAAAATGATTTTAAAATGTAGAACTAAGAAAGCTCCCTTTTTGAATAAAGTAGCCTCCTTGAATGCTCATGATCTTAGTTCACCTTATTCGTCTAAAAAAGGCTCTCCTCTCCTCTGTGAAGCCTTTAGAAACTCTACAGACTTTTCACCTACATTTCTGGATGTAAACTTCGCATTGTTTCTATTGAATACTGAAGTCATTATCCCTAGCTACACTGAAGTAGCTAGCTTTAATAACGGCGTAATATCACGGATCATGGGAAGTTACGTTGATTATACTTCCATCTTCACCGATGCATCTAAAACTGCTGAGGGCACTGGAGCTGCCTGGGTAATACCTCATCGGGCCGAGAAGAAGTTCAAGTTCAGTGGACAAACATCTATATTTACAGCGGAAGCATTCGCTATATTAAAATCCATAGAATTTGTGATAGAATCCGGTATTTGCAAATGTATTATATTTTCTGACTCTCTATCCGTCTTGTCTTGCTTAAAGTCTCCAACAGATGTTAATTCTAACTATTACCACTCATATATAATAAGGATTAAGCAAGAAATATCCAAGTTCCAACAAAATAATTCAGACAAAAAGATAGTGTTGGTGTGGGTTAAGGCCCATACGGGCATAACTTTTAACGAACGAGCAGATCAACTAGCTAAAGAAAGTGTTTCACAAGGAGAAGAAATTATCTCTCAACCAACATTGCATGATAGATTGAACACCACAAGGAAATTGTTCATGCAAAAATGGAAGAATCAGTATCATGATTTCTGCACACGGATGCCAACAAGATACACTCTACTGGAACCTGAAATCAGAAGTAATTTTTGGCATGAGTCATTTAAATATTCACGTAGATACATAACCACAATAACTAGAATGAAATTCGGACATGCCTGCTACCCGGCTCACCTATATAAAATCAAAGTGGTCAATAGTAATATGTGCGACACCTGCAATGAGATCGCAGATCTCGAGCATATGTTCTTTAATTGCTCCAAATTCAGACAACAATCTGCTAAACTTAAAAGCAATCTATTCCAACTAAATGTCTCGCAGCCTTATAATATTATGCACCTGCTAGCTACAAATGATAAACATATATTTGATCAACTAATTAGCTTCATTTGTGAGACTGGCATACAATTGTAAAACAAGACAAACCTTCTTAACATCACAATAACGGCATAACCTAAAGCGTTTGTGTTAGCTCATTTTTAGGTCTTAGCTGCCGATCCTTTGTTGAACACCTTTATTATTACCTTTACCGTGGTCCTCCTCTGTGTAAGTCGCCTTGATAGACCCCTTGGCGTGAAACATGTCCTTACCCTTTGTCTTCTTTTCGTCTTCTGTTTTTCTATGGAGAGGTTAGGTTAACAACAACAATTAAGAATTGTTAGGATTCAATTATGATAATTTATTCAAAATAAACCGTTTTTTAACATTCATTGACACCTTTTGATGAGGTAGTGCCAGTCTTAATTATATATAGAATTACTTGTACATCTGAACACTGGACATTTTACCAACCTAGTTTCTGGCTGCATGGCTTGGTCCTAAAGCCAAAAAAAAAAAAAAAAAAAAAAAAAAAATCCTCGAGTCCACGAATTAAATCACAAGCATTTTCAATGCGCTGTTGAAGTTTATTACTTAGTTAGTTTAAGAGTATTTACTGCTCCATCATGACACCAACTCTTTCAATTACCCCCATCCATCTAATCGAAAACTCATTATTTAGATGTTCATGAACTTCTCGTCTAAAATGTGGTGGAGCCCCATCATGTAGGAACCACATATTCTGTCTCACATTTAAAAGAACATCTTCTCATGATTGTGGCAGATTGTGTCGGAGAAAATATGTAAGTAAATTTCACCGGTCAGTCGAGGTGGAAAAAGGTAGGGTCCAATGAACATGCCAGCCCAAACATTTAATGAAAATCTATGTTCACAATGAGTTCTTTTTACAGCACGCAGATTTTTGACATCTGCCATTTAAAGAGTGTCAAAAAAATTCAGTATCCTTAGAAAGTCCTAAACAATGCAATTTTGATGATAGGAGTTCGTAGTTAATTGTATCGAAGGCTTTAGAGAGATCAAAGTGCAATAAAAGTGTATCATGTATCGATAGAAGGGCTGCCGTCGTGCTATAGCCACCTCTAAATCCAGATTGTTGATCTAGAAGTAGACTATTGATAATTGAATAAGTATTAAATTGTGAAAACATAATATTCGCAAGTAATTTCGATAAAACAGGAAGTAAACTGATTGGTCGTAGATAACTGTAACATTTGGGGAAAGCAATTTTTGGGACAGGAATGATAAGCGATTTTTTCTGTACGTTCGGAAAATATCCAAGGAAAGAGAAGTGTTTATTATAGGTGGATAACAGGAAAACTTAATTTTATCCGAACCTGATCTATGTATTATACATCTCATATAACATCCAAAAACCATAGTGTCTCATTTTCGAAATTTTTTGCTAGTGGTGTGAGAAGTAAAACTGAGTTGGAACATTTCTGCCTCGTCCCGTATAAATAGGTAACATCACTTATAATACTTCAGATTATGCAGTAAAGCAAAAGATCTGAAATAAGCTTAACGCTTTAATAGAATATCGTAATATCAACACCTGGACCTATTCCGTGATTAATGTAAATTCGATGTGTTAGCAGATTTTAGTGCAGCAATGTTGCTATCTTGGGTTTTCAACGGATTTTATTTTTCAATTCACTACCGATGCAGATTTCCATTATGAATCACTCAGCGACCAAGTGTATTAGTCCCATGAGAAAATATTTTTGCAATACTAATTGGAGAAATCGCCCCATTGAGCTTTTCACATCCGTTTATTTTTTGTAGCGAAGCAGCCGCGTGGGTGGAAACCTAAATACCAGGGTACCGCGGCTGCTATGAAGAACTCAAAGAAGCTTTGTTAATCGATTTTTCAAATGCCGAAGGTGATTATATCTGGGAAAAGAGAAGTCTGAATCGGTTAGGATGAGAGGCCGAGGTCGAGCCGGGCTGCCAGAGAGGAGCCAAGATGGATTCCTGAGGAACACCCGTGTTGAGATTGTCGACGGATATCTTAAGGCCAGAGAGGAAGTAAGCCACCCATCTCCAGAGCTTCTCTCGGGGGCCATAAGTTGGAAGTTTGTTTAAGAGGACAGCTTGCCACAGCTGATCAAGAGCAACGGCATTAGCCGCACCATAAGTCTGGATTAATTTACTCCACAGTTACGTGACGTAAGCTAGGAGGTCCCCAGCCCACCATACTACTTGTCGCTAATCAAGCCATGGCGTTCAATGTAATCCAGGAGCTCCCGATTGTAATAGGTTGGCCATTATTGCTATTTGTTAGTGAAAGGTACTTAGCTAATTAGTCAAACACATTAATTAATTAGCTAAGTTGGTCACGATGAAATTCGCTAATCACGATGCCAGTTAGTATTATCACCAGCATAGACCGGAATTCGAGAGGACTTTCCGATTATAACTTAAAGTTCATGTTATTAAGAGTTTGGTGCGGTTCGAGCTGGATAACGGAAACCGTTAATAAGACTAATATCAATTTGTCAGGTGTTTTGAGAAGAAGCTGTAAGGTAACTTACTTATTTACTACCTTACGCTCAGAAGACTTCTTAAAATCGGTGCGCACTAAGGTCAGTTACTCGCATAGTTGATTTCACACTTAGCTATACTTAATGTTTGGAAAACTGGTCACAAAAATCTTCAAAAGCTACGACCTTATCACTTTTAGCACTGTTCTAGACACTTCATTTTTAGACTGGAGATGCTCAACTGAAAGTCTGACAGGCGGTTGGGGTTAAGTGGGGTTAAGCTACATGGCTGATTTTCGAGAGTTGAGTATAATCCGTTTATTAACTCTCAAGATAAGCAGATTACTTCACAAAAGAAAAAACTGATATTTTCCCTCGAATCTCGGGTTGTACCTGCTCTTCCTGAATAATCATCTTGGACCGAGAGGACAGGCAGATCAATTCAGTGCTCTCGCATTTGAAAGGGACAATTTAGGATATGTACA